ACCTAATGGGGGAGGGGGCAACCTGCAAACAATTGTGCAAAGAAGGAAAGCATTAGAATGAAGGGGTCTCGAAAACATTTCTCTTAGGAGATGGGATTTTTGCCAGGACTTGAAGGAAACCAGGAGGCAGAGATGAGGAGGCAAAGCATTCCAGGCATGGGGGACAGCCAGGGAAGATGGCCAGAATCTTGTGTGAGGAGCAGCAAGGAGGCCAGGGTCACTGGATCAGAATATGGGAGGTGGATAGGAAGGTCTAAGAAGACTAGAAAGGGAGGGGGAGGCTGGGACATGATGGGCTTTGAATGCCAAGCAGAGGGATTTTTATCTGTTCCTAGAAGTGATAGGGAGTCCCTAGCATTGGTTGGCTAGGAAGGTGATATGAACAGACCTGGGTTAAAATGAAGATATTCCTAAAGGAAGATTAAATTGAGAGCTGAATAGAGCACAGCTTGGCTTGGGGACAGACTGGGGACAGGAAGGCCAACCAGCAAGTAGCTACTACCATAATTCAGGGATTTAGTAGTGAGGGCCAGCACCAGGGGAGAGGCCATGTAGAGAGGAAAGAAGGGGGTGGATGTCGGCTATGGCAGTGAAGCCAGGAGGATCTGACAAGCGCTTTGTTGTACTGGGTGAGAGAGAGTAAGAGGTAGAGGGTGTTAGTATAGCTGTGAATCCGGGGGACGAAGAGTGGTGGTGCCCTGGACAGGAAACCACAAGTTGGGAAGACAGTAGATGGCCTCTTTGATGTCTTTTGATACCATCCTGCTCCCTCCACCCCACCCCGCTCTAAAGCCTCTGCCTCCAAGTGAATAGCCGTGACCACCCCCAGTGCCTCTAAGTGCAGAGACCTAGATCATCCAACTGGGCATTGATGCCCCAGGGATGGGGACCAGTCCAGCAAAGCTGTGATGACTGGATGAGCTGAATCCAGTCACCTCATTCCCTCCTCAGCACCTGTTTCTCATCTGTTTGAGAGGGGAGGGAGGGCAGAAGGAGGAGCAATGGTGGGGGGAGGGATTGTAAGTCGGCAGGTTTACGTTACATGTCATAGCAGCCTTGGGTTCTCCAGGGTCAATGCTGGTGGAGCGTACGCTGGGGCAGGTTCTGTCATGGAAAGGCCTGGAGTGGCGCCCCATCAGCCTGGCTAGTCAAGCACCCAGAGCAGGGCTGGCTACCTGACAATGAAGCTTCTTTGACTGTGGCAACAGCCATGGTCCCGTGGAACCCCTTCCTCTCGGCAGTGACAGCAACAGCAGCAGCAAAGGAGGAAGAGGGTGCCAAGTTTTAGGCCATCAAACCTTCATTGGACTGCTGGCCTTCTAATTCGAAGTCCTTGTTCACTGACAGGTGAGGGGACACATTCATTGTCGGAGGAGCTGAATCACATTAACTTTAACATCCTTGCTCTAAAAATGAAACCGGCTGGGTTGGTGCCAGGGCAAGATCGGGGGATGAGAGATGAGGGATGACGTGGGAGGGGTATGAAGCCATCGGAGATGTGTGTGCTAGGAAGAACAAATGGGCCCATCCCACCCTGAGAGCAAGGAACCATGGGGTGATGGCCAAGGTCCTCCATTGGAACTCAAGATGTCAGCAGAAATCGAGGAAAGCCCTCTGGCCTGTGGGTGGACTCCATGGGAGGACATGAACAAGAAGAATCACCCAGAATAAGTGGGTGGGCATGGAGGGGCTGCTATTTGGGTTGGGGAAATTCTTAACTGTAAGAGATCTCCACTCCACATGCATCTCTGCCTGGTTTCCCCTCCATGGACCAGATGCCCCTTCCAGGATCACTTCTAACCTCGGTGCCATGTTGCTAATTGAAGTCTTGGATATCACCTGCCTCAGCCTCTCCCCCGCCCCCCTCCCCCCTGCATTGGAGGGCTGGAGGGTGTCGTACTGAATTCCTACCAAAGCTCTCCTTTATAGGGGGCAGAAACCAGACTTCCAGTTCACTCTGCTCTCTATCTGCAGGTTTGCCTGGCTTCAACTCCATGGAACGAGATGCCTCCTGTGCCAGGGACTTCAACCCCCCCCCATGTCTCCCCACCCCTTTCCAGCTTCCTTTTGTGAGTTATCTACCTGATTAGATTGTAAGCTTCTTGAGGGCAGGAACTTTCTTTTTCCTATTTGTATCACAAGCATTTAGCACAGTGCCTGGCACATCTTTTGTTATTCACTCTTTTGAGTTGTATCCAACTCTTTGTGATCCTATTTGGAGTTTTCTTGGCAGAGATACTGGACTGGTTTGCCATTTCCTTCTCCAGCTCATTTGACAGACGAGGAAACTGAGGCAAACAGGGTTAAGTGACTTGCCCAGGGTCACACAGCTAGTAGGTATCTGAGGCCAGATTTGAACTCAGGAAGCTGAGTCTTCCTGACTCCAGGCCCAGCACCATCCACTGTGCCACCAGGAGCCGCTTAATAAAGGTTTATTTAATTGAATTGTCCAAAAGTGAAATGGACTAATGGGCAGAGTGGACTCCCCAAAACGGGAGGTCTCCAAGCAGACTAGGTGATTCCTTGTTGGCTTGAAGAATACAAATCTTAAAGTATTATATAAATGAAAGTTCTAAAAATGCTGCAGTCCAGTCGCTGTAGATCACTTGCAGCACTTTATGGCATGCCTAGATTGCACTCCCTGCTCACTTCAGCATTGCACAATCTCTTGCTTCTTCCAAAATTCATCTCAGTTGCCACCTTCTACAGGAAGTCTTCCCTGATCCCCACAGATGCTTGTGCCCTGCCCCCATTACCTGGGACTTACTTGGGTTTATTTTGTATCTATTTAAAGGTGTTCATGTTGTCATCTTCCCCAGCAACGTTGGAAGCTCCTTGACGGCAGGAACTGTCTCGTTTTGTATCCCCGTTGCCTAGCACAGAGCCTGGTGCTCAATAAATGCATGTTGGTTCATTGATTTTAAGGGTGGGTAGAAATTCTGCACCTGAAGAGAGGGACGATGGGGACATTCTAGGTGGAGGGAACAGCCCAGGCAGTGGCATATGGATAGTAGCATAGGAGCTGCTAGGTGGCCCAGAGGATAGAGAGCCTCTTCTGAAGTCAGGAAGACCTGAATGTAGGTCAGATCTCAAACTCATACTGGCTGTGTGATCCTGGGCAAGTCACTTAACCACTGTCTGCTCAGTTTCCTCTTTTGCAAATTGGGGATAATAACAGCACCTGCCTCCCAGGGTTATTGTGAGAATCAAAGGAGAGAATAACTGTAAAGTGCTTAGTACAGGGTCTGGTGCCTGATACGTGCTAGTGCTATATAACTTAGTTTATGATGATGACCATGATGAAGAAGAAGATGGTGATGATGATGTGAGGTGTCTTCCAGGTTGGTTCAGAGTGATGAGGAGAAAAAAACAGGAGTGAATAACATTTATTTAGTACTTTCAGATTTGCAGTGTTTTGCATACATTATCTCATTTGACCCTCAAAAAAATCTGGAAGGTGGATGCTTTTACTATCTCCATTCTAGAGATGAGGAAACTGAGGTGTGGAGAGGTTAAATGATCTGCCCAGAGTCACACAGCTAGGATGTGTGTGAGGCGGGACTGGAACTCAGATCTTCCTGATTTCAAGTCCAGCATTTTAGTACAAGTCCTTTAAGCTAGAAAGATAACTGAGTGAAAGGTTTTGAAAAAGCCTTGAATGCCGGGCATAGGGGTATGAGTTTCTCTAGGGAAGCCCTAGAGAATCACTAAAGGTCTGAGAGCAGTGGAGTCGCTTGCCCAGATTTGTGCATAAGAAAGGTTGTAAGAAAAGCCCCAAACCCGCTCCCCGTCCCCCTCCCCCTTTTTTTTTAATCTGCAAGTTCAGGGAAGGAAGAGTCATCCCCAGCGTAACAGGGAGAAGTGACTCAGCCCCAAGTCTCCTGACTCCCAGTCCCAGTATCAGTCATCTCCTCAGACTCGAGGTCAGGCCGGCTCGTCCTTGAGGGCTCAGGCTCCTCCTCCTTGTGAATACCGCCTGGGGAGAGGAGGAGAGAGGACCAAATAGCTGGAGGCCTCTCCTCTTTCCAGAGGTCGCGCGAGTGAACACAGACTTCCCTATCTTCACTCCTTCCCCCACCCCTACTGCTGTCAGTTCACCATCTACTTATCGGCTCCTTTAGACGCAAGCGCCGCCTCCTCCAGGCAGGCTTCCCGAAAAGAGCTAGCCCGCCGAAGTTCCCGCACCCCGCGGGAGTCAGTGGGTTTGGCCGTTAAGTCTCTGCTCCGCCACTTCCTTGCGGAGAGATCTCAGACACGTCTCTTCCCGACCCTCGCCCCACCTAAAACTAGGCGTGTTGTACAGGCCGAGCTGATAATCCTTTGGGTGCCGTGAGGTTTTCTTTCAGTTCTCGGTGCCTGTAACTCTTTTCCCAGCCCAGAGCTGAGGGAGTGGTAGCCACCTCGAGTCAGTCTGGCAGCCTGCTGCCTTGGAGCTACTTTGTATCCACCGCGGCTGACCTCGCCAGCCCGGGCAGCGGCTACATTGTATCCAGGGCAGGTACCCCCCCCCGAGTCCCGCCTTCAGCCGAGACTTGGAAGCTACATTGTATCCATCGCATCGCCACTGCGCCCTCCCCCTGCCCCGAGAGGGCTGGCTGGCGGGTGTATCTATTCGGGGGCGGCTGCTTTTATATAGTAATCCCAGTAGAGAGTGTGAGTGTGTGTGTGTGTGTGTGCGTGTGTGTGTGTGTGTGTGTGTGTGTGTCTGTCTGTCTGTCTGTCTGTCTGTCTGTCTGTCTTTCTCCTCCTCTCCAGCCCACCCCTGCTGCGGCTGCATAGCATGCAGGCTCGCAGCTCCGCCGCTCAGCCAACGATTGCTGGGAGGGGCTCGGAGGAGAATCTATGGGCCAGCCGCAGCGTTGCCCTCTCGAAGCGCTTTACGCCAATAGCTCTGGGTACTGCTGGTAAACGTAGTGATCGTCGCCGCTGTCACAGTTCGACTTAGGATGGAACACCTCCTATACCCTGTTGCCCGGGGAACAGAAAAGGGAACACGAGATCCAGGTTGCGCATGCGGCTCCGGGACTTTTTCCGACATCACCCGCCCTCCCTCTCCCCATCACCCGGGATCCTGGAAACTACAACTCCCACAAAGGTATGCGGCTGGGGCGGAGGTAGGGCAACTACGCCCCTTCCCATTGGCTCAGAGTCCGGGAGTAGTCTATTGGCTACTGGAGCAGGCAAGAAGGGAATCACGGGCTCGGATTGGTGAAGTCTGAAGGCAGGAGTAGTACCGGAAATAGTGGCGAGGCTGGAGGGGAGACCCACGTGGAGCGTCCGGGCTACCCAGTGCAGTCCTGGAGCTGACCCCAGGCTCGGACCCGAGGCCTGGCGATCCCTACTGAAAGGGGTGACATGGAAGACGCTTTCAGCAGCCCAGCAGGGGCCGCGCTGCAGCGGGAGGCTGGGGTTCCGGAACCACTGACGCCCCTCACGGAACTGGGCCGCACTTACGAGCTGGAGCGGGTGCAGGCCTTCGTGCTGGAACACGAAGCCAAGCGGGTAAGTGAGGGAGGGGAGAAGGGGAGGGAGAACTAGGGAAAAGGGAGAGTGTAGAGGCTGGGTGGGGGTAGGGGTTAAGGGAAAGGCCAGGACGGGGGGAGACTTGGGGGAAGGCGAAGCAGGTGAAGGGGCCTGGGGGTGGGGAAAGAGGATGTCGGGGCTGGGGGTGGGAGTACGTCCCCTACCCAGAGCCGAGTGAAGCTCTGAGCAGGGCTCTCTGCTGGCTGCTCAGGTGGCCTTGCAGTTCCCCGATGAACTCCTTGGAGACAGTGTGGCTGTAGCTCGGGCACTGGAGGAGATGACAGGAGCCAAGATGTTTGTTCTGGGGGACACAGCCTATGGCAGGTGGGAGCCTGAGGACGGGAGGGAATCAGGGAGGTCCTCTGTCGGCCTTGCCCCGCCCCTATAATTGATCCCCTTCTGCAGCTGCTGTGTGGATGTGCTGAGGGCTGAGCAGGCTGAAGCCGATGCCCTGGTCCACTTTGGCCCTGCCTGCTTGAGTCCGCTTTCCTGCCCCCTGCCTGTCATCTATGTCCTTGGCCAGCGTCCGGTGGCCCTGGAGCTGTGTGCAGAGGCCTTCAGAGCCCTGCACCCCAACCCTGCAGAGCCTGTGGTGCTGCTGAGTGAGACAGCCTGTGCCCATGCCCTGGGTGAGGACTAGGGGAGAGGCGGGTGGGTAGAGGCCTGCACTGGCAGTCTCCAGCTGTATGTCTATGTGTTCTTCCCCATTGGACTGTGAGCTCCTTGAGAAAAGGGACCGATTTTCGTTGTATCCCCAGTACTAGCACAGTCTGGCACATTATAGGGGCTTAATAAATGTTGATTGATTTACTGGGGAGGAGAAGAAATCGGCTGAGACTTTACTACCCAAGTCAGCCTGGGCTACTTACCTTTTTTGCTGCCTCAGTTTCCCTATCTGCTCCTTAGCCAAGAGCCTTAGTTTCCCCATATGTCCTTGGGATGGATGCCTGACTCATAGGACCTCTGAGTTGCAGGAACATTTCGGAAGGCCTGGAGTCGAATGTGTCCCAACCACTACAGTATAGTGGCCATCCAGTGTCTGTGACCTTCATTGAGGGGGTGCTCTCTCGTCCCCAGGCGGCCCAATCTAGTGCGGCGCAGTTCTGACTATGAGGAAGGTCTTCATAAGTCAAACTTACATATATCTTTGTGCTTTCCTCCCTCCTTCTTCCCCTTTGACCTTCGAGGTGAGCTCTCACGTCCCATTTAGTCCTCTCTCCTCCCTGATGAGCACCCCCGGCCCTTCCGCCTGTCCTAATCCGACCCATGCATTTTGCCTGCAGAAGCCTTGGCTGCTCTCCTTCGCCCACGGTATGAGGACATCCTGGTCTCCCTCCCAGCTCTGCCCACTACTGCCCCAGGCTGGGACCACCCACCGTTGGAGCGTTTTGGCCGCTTTTTCCCACTGGGCCCTGGTCGTCAGCTGGAGAACTATGGTGCCTTTTATGTGGGGGGCTCTGAGAATGGGGACAATAGCGGAGCTGAGGTGAGCCCAGACCTGCTCCAGCTGCTCCTGGGCTGGGCCCCCAGCCGCCCCTTCTCATCTTGCCTGCCAAGCTCTGGACAGGCCCGAGCAGAGGGCCCCCGGGCAGTCCGAGCCAGAGCGCGGAGCCACTATCTGGTGGAACGGGCACGGGATGCCCACGTGGTGGGACTGCTGGCAGGTGCTCCAGGAGGGGCAGGGCACTGTGAGGCTCTGGCCTACCTTCGGAAACTGGTGCAGGCCGCTGGCAAGCGGGCCTATGTCCTGTCGCTGGGCCGGCCCAGCCCTGCCAAGCTGGCCAACTTCCCAGAGGTAGATGTCTTTGTGCTGCTGGCCTGTCCCTTGAGGGCACTTGACCGATGCCAGAGTGGTGCCAGCAGAGGGCTCTTCCGGCCGCTGCTCACCCCCTATGAGCTGGAAGCTGCCTGCAATCCAGCTCGGGGGCCACTGGGGCTGGGCCCCTACCTGACTCACTATTCTGACCTGCTGCCAGGTAAGGCCCAGCACCTTTTGCCTTGGGTGTCTTCCCTGTCCCTTAGCCCTGTGCCTTGGTTTTGCTCCCAGCTGGGAGGGAAGGAGGAGGAAAAGGCCCATCTGTGATCTCCCTCCATTGTCCCTCCAGGCTCCCCCTTCCACGTGCCAATCCCACCCCCTGACTCTGAGCTATGGGGTACACCTGATGTGTCACTCATCACTGGAGAGCTGCGTGTATCACAGGCCTCAGCCTCGTCAGACGTCCCCGACGTCCTAGAGGCCTCGGTCCTGAGCCAGCGGTCCCGGCTTGAGCTTGCTGAGAGCAGTCCAGCAGGTAAGCCCAGTGTGTGCCCCTCCCCCAGCCCAGCTCCCCAGATCCTCTGGGAGCCTTGGTCAGTGAGTGGGAGGTGTCTAGACCCCTGGCTGACCCTCTTCTTTGTCCCCTCCCAGCTTTGTTCCTTGGTTCTCGTACTTGGCGGGGGTTGGAACCTCAGCTAGGCCAGACAGCACCAGTGCGAGCGGTAGCAGGGAGACGAGGCATCCCCATTGCCTATGAGGATGAGCCTGGCAGCTGAGGAACCCTCAGTGGCAGATGAGACTCCCAGAAAAGACCTTGGCACTCCTTGAAAGAGCAGATCCCAAGTGCCAGCGGCCAGTCCCGCTGGAGTAAGCAGGCTCAGGCCGGACTGTCCTCCCTGGCTGACTTCAGATACCTCTGCCCTCTGAGCCGTTACTGATGACTGAACACAAGGGGGAGGGGAAGGAACAAGCATTTAAACAGCACCTACTGTGTGTGAGGCAGTGGGCTGAACACCGTTACCAATAGCTCCTGGGATCCTCCTAATATCCCTGGGGGGTTATCCCAGTTTTATAGATGAGGAAACTGAGGCAGGCAGAGGTGAAGTGGCTTGCCCAGGGTCACACAGCTCATAAGTGTCTGAGGCCAGATATGGACTCTTGTCTTCCTGACTCCAGACTCAGCGCTCTATCCACTGTGCCCACCTAGCTAATAGGGGGTCCAAGATCAAGGTGACCCCCAAAACCGAACACTGTCCCTTCAGCTGCTGCTGTCTCTGTGTTCTGCCCTCCTGGTGTCTCAGGGGCTCTGTCAGCACACAAATGGCATTGATTAGGCACCTGCTGTATACAATATGTCAGGCCCTGTGCTGAATGTGTAAAGCATGGTAAGGCCGGAGTCCCTCCCCCTTTGCCCTCAGTGGGAGAAATGGACAACATGGACCGGAGACGGTCTGAGCTGCAGGGGATTTTGAGGCATCCAGGCCACCCTGCACCTTAACACCAGGTGTGGAAGAGGGACATTCCTGCCCCAGTCCCTGAAGCTGCCCATGTCTTTGAGGGAACCACTGTATTGGTGAGGGGGATTCTCGTGCAGGGACAAAATCAGCCTCTTGTGTGGAGTTGGGGGGAAGGAAGGTCCAGTTGAGTGTATTAGATATTTAAAAAGAAAAGCAACCTGGTAAACTAGGCAAGAGCCCCATTCTCAGGTTATCTTTTTCCTGTTCTACCATGTTCTTGGAAATGCCCATTTTATTCATCAGGTTCAGAATAAAAAATGTTTTCTTTAAAAATGTTGAATGCATTAATGAATGATATAAAGGGTGCCCTGAATTCCTGGGCGCCTTACCGGAGGAGATTCCTGGGTTTGGGGAGGGACTTGGCCCTAGGGTCGGATTCACCAGGATGGGAAAGGCCTCTTTGCCCCATGCGGCCCTGGCTCTGCTCTCCTTGGCTGGGGGTGGCTTTCTCCAGAGCCACAGCCTTGCCCGTTGCTGGCTCGGTGGACCCTGCCAGCTGGATGTTCTGTAGGCTTGTGTCCCAAGCAGAGCTCCTCCTCTCCCCAGTCCCTAATTTCCCCATTTCTGTCTGAGGCACCCCCTCCTCCCAGCATCATCCCTGACTCCCCCATCTCCCTTCTCCCCCATGTCCAAAAAAAATCAGTTGCTAAATCTTACTGTTTGTCACAACCCCCCACCCAACTTCTCCTCTCCACTCCCATGCTGCCAGCCTCAGTCTCTCATCCTCTCTCACCTGGACTATGGCCACAGCCTCTTCCTTGGTCTCCTCAAAGCCAGCCTTTCCCCTCTCGCATTCTTCCTTCTGACACAGCTGTCAGTGATACAGTAGGAGTGGGATCACATCACTCCTATATTCAAGAAGCCTCACTGGCTCCCTGTTGCCTCTCCTCTACGGCACACGGAGCCTGTCACACTTTGGCTGCAGCCTCTTTCCAGAACTCGGTGGCATGTGCTCCACGTCTTGGCCAGCTGTCCTCCTTGTTATTCCTCATTCACAACTTGCCCTCCCCCTTCGCACAGGCTGTCCCCCCTGTTTGGAATGCCCTCCCTCCTCCCCTCTCATCTGGGGACTGTGGGCAGCTCTCATTAGTATAACAAGTTCCCCCCAAAGCAATCTTCATTCTGCCTCTCGCCCTTGATTTGGCCCTCGGGGCCAGACAAAACAAGCCCTATCTTTCTCCGTGTGTCTGATTTTCAAAAACACGAAGGAAGCTGCGTTGGCCCACTGAGTCTCTCCAAGATAAACACCCCCAATTCGTTCAATCCTCATATGACTTGGGCTTGAGCCTCTCCCGTTGCCCTCTGGACACTCCCTAGCTGGTCCACTGTGGTGGCTAGACCCAACCACACTCCTCCAGATGAAGTCTGGCAGAAGGCAGTGGGGCCTCACCCTACTCCTAAAATTGTGTCTTCTTTGAATGCAGCCCAAATCACATTGGCTTTTTCGGCCACCTGCCTCATCACACTGCTGGCTCATTGAGCTTGTGGTCCACTACCCCCCCCCCATGTTTTTCCAGAACACCTGCTGTCTGTCCATGGCCCTCCCATCCTAGACTTTTGGTACCCAAGTGCAGGACTTCTTTCCCTAGTGAATTTCACCTTCTTAGAATCAGCCCAACGCTCCCACCTTAATGCCATCCTTTTGGAGCCCGGTTGCCATCCAGTGTGTGAGCTCCATCCCTCCCAGCTCAGGGTCATCTGCAAGGCTGATGAGAGCACATAGCATCTATGCTTTTCTCAGAGTCAGTGATAACATTAAACAGCTTAGAGCCAAGCATAGATCCCTGGGAAATGCCACTGGAGACCTTCCAAGTGGGACTATTATTAACAACTCCTGTCAGGCCACCGTATTGGACTCTTGTCTGGCTACATCTTTTCCCAGAAGACTGTTGTCTCACATTGCTAAAAATCCAGGTAAACTACCTGAAGTATCTGCCGATGTGGGAGAGAGAGAGTCTCTGAGGAAGCTTCGGGTTTGCCAGGTTCCTATGCCCTCACGTGACTTCCAGTGACTTCCACAGAGAAATGAGGAAGCCTCTTGAGGATGGGGAGGAGATTGCTCCGGGAGGCCCTGCCCTGGTGGCTGGGACCCCTCCTCCCACTCGCTGAGACTGGAGAAAAGGAAGCAGAAGCAGCTGCAAGGTCATAGCTGGTGTGGGGGGTGGAGGGGAAGAGGAGGAAGGGGAGGGACTGTGCCTGACCATAATCAGCCACTGTGGGGAGGGGACGGGTGGTGCTGGGGGGTGGGGATGGCCAGGGCAGCAGGGGATCCCACATGTGCTCCCAATCCAGGCCGGAGCCGTTTGGCTTTCTTCCCTCTGCCCTGATGTGCAGCTGACCAGAGAGCCAGCCCGGCTCTTTCATTCCAGGCGGAAGCCCCTCATGTATGGAGTGTTGGGGGAGAAGGTGACCCCCGGAAGCTCTTGGTTCCCCAATGTCAGTCATCCCCAAATAGCATTTGGAGTCCTTACTCTTCTCAGTCATATTCTGCATTTCTGTTACTTGAAGTCACTGTTACACCATGTATTTCACTGTGCTCTTTACATGTATACTCATACTCTATATAAATGCTAGAAAAGCTCATTTACAAAGATGTGGACCCAAGTGCCCGGTTCAGGATGGAAGCAGGGGGAGTCAACACAAAAGGGAAAAATTGAGTTTCCCCTGGAGGAGGAACTGAGAGGGAGACTGAACAGATGAGGAAGAGTTCCTGTAGATGAAATACTACTCCAATCACACCACAGACTTGCCGGCCTTTTTTTTTTTTCTTTTAAACTCAGATAAGCTTAACTGGGAATGAGTCTGGAAACAGTGATAGGGGTGGGGGGGGGGGGGAGCAGTTTCACCTTTGCTCCTGTTGGTATTATAGGACTCCTGGGACCAACCCCCCTTTCCCATAGAGAATTTCCCACACATACACCGCCCTGCCCCCGATTCATTCATCATAGCCCACAAAAAAGCTTAGTTTGGCAGGATCTGGGCTGCCTCTCTGATCACTCTGCTCCCCTTTCCACACGTGCACTAACCATTCCTTCATACAGACTGAAATTTTGCCAGGAAGCCCAGAACCAATAGTTGATAGATTCTGTTCCCTTCCCTTTTTTTGAATGACCACCTTTTGACCTAGCCATACCAGATCTTAGATTGTATTATAAAGCAGCAATCATGAAAACTACTTGGTACTGGCTAAGAAATTGAATGGGGGATCAGTAGAATAGGTTAGGTACACAAGACACAATAGTCAGTGACTATAGTAATCTACTGTTTGATAAACCCAAAAACCCCAGCTTCTGAGATAAGAACTCACTATTTAACAAAAACTGCTGGGAAAACTGGAAAATAGTATGGCAAAAACTAGGCAGAGACCAACACTCTACACCGTATATATCAAAATAAAGTCAAAATAGGTACACGATTTAGATTTAAAGGCTGATACTATAAGCAAACTGGGAGAACAAGGAATAGTTTACCTGTCAGATTTATGGAGAAGGGAAGAATTTATGACCAAACAAGAGAATGAGGACATTATGAAGTGCTAAATGGATGATTTTGATTACATTAAATTGAAAAATTTTTGCACAAAGCCAATGCAACCAAGATTAGAAGGGAAGCAGAAAGCTGGGAAAGAATTTTTACAGCCAGTGTCTCTGATAAAAGCCTCATTTCCAAGATATATAGAGAACTGAGTTGAATTTATAAGAATAAATGTCATTCCTCAATTGATAAATGGCCAAAGGATATGAACAGACAGTTTTCAGATGAAGAAATTAAAGTTATCTATAGTCATATGAAAAAATGCTGTAAATCACTATTGATTAGAGAAATGCAAATCAAAACAACTCTGAGGAACCATATCATATCTATCAGACTGGCTAACATGACAAAACAGGAAAATCATAAATGTTGGAGAAGATGTGGGAAAATTGGAACACTAATACATTGTTGGTGGAGTTGTGAAATGATCCAACCATTCTAGAGAACAATTTGGAACTATGCACAAAGAGCTATAAAACTGTGCATACCCTTTGACCCAGCAATAGCACTTCTAGGGCTGTATCCCAAAGAGATCACAAGAATGGGAAAAGGACCCACATGTACAAAAATATTTATATCAGCTTTTTGTGGTGGCCAAGAATGGGAAATTGAGGGGATGCCCATCAATTAGGGAACAGCTGAACAAGCTGTGGTATATGAATGTAATGGAATACTATTGTGCTATAAGAAATGATGAGCAGGTGGACTTCAGAAAAACCTGGACTTACATGAACTGATGCTGAGTGAAGTGAGCAGAACCAGGAGAACATCGTACACAGTAATAGCCATGTTGTGTGATGACTAACTTTGATAGACTTAGTTCTTCTCAGCAATGCAAGGATCTAAGACAATTCTCAAAGACTCATGATGGAAAATGCTATCCACATCCAGAAAAACTATGGAGTCTGAATGTAGATCAAAAGCATACTATTTGCTCTCTCTCTTTTTTTCATTTCTTCTTTTTTGTGGTTCTTCCTTGGTTCTAATTCTTCTTTACAACATGACTAATGTGAAAATATGTTTAATATGAATGTGTATGTAGAGCCTATATCAGATTGTATGTTATCTTGGGGAGAGGGGAGGGAAGGGAGAGGGAGAAAATTTAGAACTCAAAATTTTAAGGAAGTAAATGTTGAAAACTAAAAATAAATAAATTTTTAAAAAAAGACCACCTTTGCCCACTCCAGTCCTGTGCCAGTTTTCCTGTTCTCTATGATGATTCACGTCTCAGATGATGGCTCAGTAATCCCACTTAACCATTTTTCTCAGTCTCACTGGATATGTTCCATCTGGGCCCAGTAACCTGAACCCCTTAAGGGTGGCTGGCTATGCTCTCACAACCTTCCCACATATCTGGAGTATCAATGTCCATTTTTATTACATCCTGATCCTTCTTCATTCTCCTGGACTAATAAAGCAAATACAACTAGACTCATTGAGCCACTCTATGGTTTAGAATCCCCTAGAAGCGAAACATACTTGGAGCGGCTTAAAGATTGGTGGTTTATTTCCTGCTTGTCTGACTTCCCCTTTGCAAAATCATTATCTACATGCTACCCATCCCCCCACCCCAGACCATGAGTGTCCTCCAGAATTCTCTCACTTAGAAAGCCCCAGAGAAGTTAGGTAAAGAACTTAGAAGCTCTGGGGGGTGGTTAGGAGACCAGTCTGATGCCAACTATCAAGGTGTTCCTGGGCTCAGACTGGGAAAGCCCAGGTCCAGGGGCTCTGAGGTCCCT